GGAGTCGAAAAAGAAAGAACCCAGCCACATATAGCAAACCAATACCCAACACCAAATTTTGGCAAAACCTCTACATTTTGCTGCACTAACACTACACCCACAAGAACACACCAGGACTTCATTCTAAATCCCTACACACTGTCCCGACTAATTTTCGTAACTCATTACTATACCAGCCTGCCTTCTCTTCTTGTCTGCACGTCATTTTCTTTAAATAACATGAATCGCTACCAAACGAACAAGACTGTCAATCATTCACTTTGCATTGCTTCAATAATCATGCTTTCCCTAACACAGACAATCTAACATCAAAGTAACTGGAGGACAGTCAAGAATGTGCAAGAAGTCCTTTGCAGATATCAATGCAACCTACCATCTTGGAATTTCACTGGAACATCTGAGAAAATCCACGTAAAGCCAGCGTACTGACCACTCACCTAAACCGCTCTCTGTAATGTTATTCTTTAAAAACATTACAGCACTTAGGAAGGGGATTAATGCCTTCTTTCTTCTTCTACATTCTTAAAATTCAGTACCTAAACTAAAAGGTCAATAACTTCTGCCTCTGTACCATACATACACCTCCAAAGGCCCCCACCCCCTTCAGCAACACACAAAGACAAAAAAAATCCAAACAGAATGAAACTTATTTTTGTTATGTTCTCCAACCTAACTGGATTCTTGTATGTAAGAATAACAGCAGCACAGGTCAGATACTGGAAAGGAAAATGCTTGAAGGATACAAAACCCATCAAAGCTTATGTGGTTCTTGTAGCCATTTGAATGTTATTCCCTCATCCTGGCAGTTGCTACATTGAGGTCCAGCGTTTGAAAGACGGTGATTCACACTACACAGACATCATTTCTATGAAAGAGACTGTCCCTGTTCCAGTTATTTTTCACAATTCACGATCTATTATAAGACAATAAAGCACATTTCATTACATTTGAGATTTGAGTTTCTCGTGGCACTGATGAATTACAGCGTGCTCCCTAGAGCTGTCAAGATACAACTGACGTGTTACATCAGCCTTTTTTATGAACTTATTGCCTCCAAATTCAGGGAATACCTGGAAGCTGAACTCGCTAAGGTTCTCTGAAACGTTTTTAATCACGTACAAAACTAAAATTGCATCATAATCCAAACCCTTTTCTAATGTCTTAGAAACAACTGCTTTAAAATTAGGAACTGTTTTTATAACTTTACACTTCTAACACTACATCTTGAAGCTACTGTTACTGTTGATTTTGAAAGCCACAATTTGATGTTACAATTCTCTCACTGCCATGCATCAAGGCTGGTTTAAAGACTAAATAGTGCATTTATAATATTACTTTTTGTCCAAAGTCATATAATTCATCCATGTAATCTATTGTTTTCTCATATATTCTCTTTGAAGTGCCTTTTATCTTTACATGGATTTCCATTTTCTATCTCATGGTAGTTGGAACTAAGTTTATACCTCAATGCAAACTCTTTGCTGTGTAGTATGATCTTTTGGGACACAATCACCAATGTTTCAGTACACTGTTTTTGGTATGTAACGGTGTAGTGCGACTTGTTAGAAACGTGCTTTTAAAATCTGAGGACAGAATAATGTCGCGATGTAAGTAGTTCTGTATTTAAGTATACAACAAAGTTAACTTTGCCCACTTGACTCCTATTATTTTTGTGAAAATTACAGTGCAAATTGAATAAAACTATTTACATTTTATAGATCCTTTATAGGCCTAAGCTGAGGATGTAGTAGTCATAGAGTTAGAGACTTAAGAGTTTAATTACATTCCACAGATCACAAACCAAAGGATGTCACAATACAAGTACAGAGCTTATGTCACATATAGATACACACGAACCTTCAGAATTGTCAACAGAGTAGGAGTGAGTTGAGAGGTAATCTTTTAATGTACTTTTATACCACGATTCAAACTTTTAATTGTAGGTGGAAGATTATTGAAAAACTTGATTCTTGGTTAGTAGTTATTGAAGTTACAAATTGGTATATGAAGGTCTTATTTACAGCTTGTGCATAATTTGTGTACATCCGTAAACCACTTTTTAAATCTCCATTCCACTCACTCGAAAAACTACTACATTACAGGAGACGGCTAATTTCGATCTCTGTCGGATTAGCCTCATTGTATAGGCTCGCCTCAGGACGGGGCAGAGCCATCTCCCCAGATGCAGCGGCTTTTTAAGTGAGCATAACGACAACACAAGAAGTCCAAATGATTGAAATCAGTAACTTGTTCAGTATAATGGAGGAATCTGAATACCTCAAACTTCACTATGTTGACCTCCATCTTACAAGAGATGCGCTCTCAAACTCTTAGGCATTACGAATACCCAAAGCCTGTTCAAGCTCTGCTCGTTTCTGCTGCACTTTAGTGTAGAAATAACGACACACAGCTTCCTGAGCCCAAGGTTGATAGAAGAAATCAGATCTGCGTTCCTCCTCCGGATTGCCAACCACATCAGTCATAGTCTGTCAACAAAGTTTATAAAATGCTTCAGTGCAGTGTGAGAAATCAACAGATATGCAAGTGGTTCCGCAAACATAGAAAAGACCAGTTAATTCAAATTACCTACATTTGCTACATTAAACACAACAGAGTCTGCTACCTGTCGACCACTTTCTTTTTAAAACTTGTCAATCATTCCACTTTTTAACGTTACACATACGGACAGATAACACGTAGTTGACTGCTTTTCTATTAACTTCACTGCAAGTTCTTGACATCTTAGACCATAACATAAAAACGAATTGACTACGAAACCAATGGCACAAAGAAAAATGTATTAAAATGTATTAATATAAATTGCACCTTTTTAAATTAAATGTTAACCACATGTTACCACAAACGCAACAGCTCAACACCCGATGACTCACCTTAAGATCACGAGTCTGAGAGATAATCCATTTGTTGATGAACTGCTGGGGATCCTTAGCAAAACTGAGGAAGAATTCTCGATTCGTCTTCAGCTGGTTGATGGTTTCAACCGTCTCATGTATCTTGTTATCCAAGCTCTATCAATGACAAATAAAAAATATTGCATGCTTATGTCACCCCACGACTATTAAGAACCAAGATTGTACACAATCATATTACTTTCTCTGTGGGTTATTCAAGAGTCTAAAACCAACTACTGACATCCCTCTACTAATTTAATATAAATAAGAAGCCATTCCATGATAGTAAAAATATCAAATTTCACAGTACAATTTGCTTCAACGATGTTACAATCCACTTTGTCACCTCTTCAAGAAAAAGATACACATCGGCACACGGATCATCCTTCGTGTCTGAAGTAAAACAAAAATTAAATTAAATCATTAAACTAAACCCCAATCCTTCCATTTAAAGATACAAACTATTACATAAAATTGTACTTGCTTCTTTCCTTTACAATTCCTTCTCCCTCCTCACATTATTTAATTAGAAGCAAATCACTCGCTGCAATACGATGCATAAAATAAAAACATAAAAGCAACTAACATGGAAAAGGAAACTTTTATGACTAATTTACTTGAATTTCTTGCTGGCTGGCAGTTGACAACAGGAAATTGTTCATCTGAGTCTTCAAAGTGTCATCGACTTCAACGTCAATATCGTAACAGGCCGTCTGTTTCTGTTCTGCCCCCTCCACACTGCAATGAATAATATGCTAATTAATAGCCATATCTACAGTTGCACAGTTTAGAAGGAACTCCACCTTCAGGGCAAAGTACAAATAAGTCAAATACTACTCAGTTTCTGCTTAGACTTCAGACTGTACGAACAAATCTGCCAAACCTGAGCAGTGCACCACTTTGATGGAGAACACCAACTTTCCTTCCAGATATGGCGGGAGAAAGTTCCGTCTACAAATTCCTTGAGCATTAGTAACAAATTCTGGGGAACATAACACAGGCAGTCAGCTCACGACATGACCGCACAGCAGCGGATAGGGCCAACGTCTTCGACGCTTTACGACTTGGGGAAAGTGAAGTTGGACTTTTCCATCGAGACACTGCACCACCAGAATCCAGCAGAAGCTGGATTAGGATAAATTCTCCCATTTCATGTGACGCATAACAAGTGCTGTTTACAGACTTGCTGAACATGCATAGCATTGAGATATTACAATGTTACATAGCAACACTAGAAATGATTGACACTGTACAGACCAAGACGGAATGTCATCTTAATACGAGCTGCACAAGAGGTTCACAAGTGGAATCCTATGCATCATCAATTGTAAACATCTTGCCACGCCAATAACATGACAGAATGAACATAATTTAACAATACACGTATGTCACATATTTATATGATAAATAGGCAAGATTCCCATCTCGAACCCAGGACAACTTCCAGTTCCACTTCAGAACTAAATACCTGATGATGTGGTTTATAACAATTGGATCTGGTGGGTGAAGCAGCGGATTGAGACGCTGAGGAATTTCTGCAAATTTCATTCTCTGACACGTGAAGATCTGCTCCAAGTACTTGTCACAGTTGATGAACTCACGTTCATGAGCATCCTGAAATACCAATTGCACTATTCAGTATGCTCGTATTACATTCCGATGAAAATCGTCTTCCTATCTGACACAGAACTAGGTATCAAAACTAAAACTTCTTGACGATGGTGAAGAGTCAATTGAATAAAAATTTCCTTGGATATTATCCATCGTCTAGTAAATATAAAACGTAAAACGACGTTTCGGAGATGGGACTCTATCTCCGTCTTCAGGTTGCTACACAGTTGGGCCCACTAGATAGAGCTAAGGATATAGGGAGATAGGGATTAGCTCTATCTATTTATTTAAAAAAACTCGGCATGCAAAAAGGTTGTCACCAAAGACACAGCTACCTGCAATTTGTGCGTCTTGATATACTGCCAGAGGGCACTGATGATGACAGGTCGTGTCTGGGTGTGAACTCCGAGCAATCGCGCCAGGCGAGGATCCAGCTTGAACTGAAGGGGCTGGTAGTCCAGCAACAGAAGAATGGTGCAGCGCACATTCTTATCTCCTGGACGTTTTACCTTGAAGTGGAATGTAACACAAGCACAAAAAATTCAGGAAACCAAGTACAAGCCATGCAAACGCTTTCAGTTTACACTTGACGACGTTACTGTTTCCCACATACCGACCTAAAATCAATGGGTCAAGGTCTGAAAATCACAGTATTTAATATTTTTGAACCTCATAATATTAAAGTATTCTGTTGTGGCACTGGGCTTCTGAGAATTCACAGTTATGTGAGGAGAAGCACTTTTTTCACATTTTAAAGTTTCCGAGTTCATGGTGCATCTTAAATTTGGTGGCATCCAAGAATCGACATTGAAAAATTATACCGCGCGATTAAAGCGCAGGGAAAAACTTCATGTCCACGGCACTAGTCGTGGGACAGTAGACACAAAAATACCAACAATGAGGACTCCAGAAAACCCATTACTAATTCAAGAGTTCGTCTTACAATAAATGGTATCTTAGAATCATGCAAAATGGTACTATTTTTCAGTGCAACATTTTCAATATGATAGCATGAAAAAGCATAAAAATCACCGTGATTTATTTATTCTGCCCACTAACACAAGCAGTGACACCCCGAGCTCCCAGAAGTGGCGCTGTGCAGTGATATCAGTTCTGTTTCTTGAAATTCACATGCCAACTTTTCTACCTCACGCAGGAAGAACGCGTGTTGATACACAACTACATACAATGAGGGTCAAATAAAGAAGATGTTTTCTTACTTGAAAGCCATCTGTTTCCTGTGTAGTTGGGGTCCTATGCCACTCGACAAGATGATTGTCTGGCCCATACAAATCTTTATCCAATTCAATCACCAGACTCTTGAAAAAGGATGAGAACTTCCTTTTCACCTGGAAAAAGGAGGAAACTTCAATAATTACATAATAAAATGCTAATAAAAAATCAATGAGCAATCAAAATTTCAAGCTCATATCCCTTTAGAATCTGACCTCATTCTCACGAAATCCGAGTGAGTACGCGCTTTAATTTAATCGGTATAAATCAAATTACACTTGTAATTTAACGAAATCAAAGTTCTGAATTGCAGTAACGTCTACTTCAAATTTTGTGTCATGTTACGCCTTCCTTTATTCATGACTGAGATGGAAAGTGAACCCCACTTCATCGCAATGACAGTGCTTGTAACAACGTAGCAAATTTTCTATCACAGAAAAACTTTCAAACAAAATCACTCTGAAACAGTGAGAGTTCAAGGTATAAAAATACAGTGAAACCTCTATCCATCGTTCCCGGAACTATCGTTTTCCCGGATGCATCGTCCGTTTTGTTCGGTCCCGGATACATCCCATATAAAATAATGTTACATTTTCCCGCTTCTATCGTTCCTCGAACTATCGTTTTATCGCATCGATCGTTCAAAAATCTTAGTCCCGGCCCACAATTTTCCCGCAATGATCGTTTCTGAGAAATTAAAATGCTGGGTTTTGAGATAAATTAATACCGAAAGACGCACAATGTTTTTGGAATAAACAGTAGCGGTAACCTGTTATGTCGCCCAACCAGCACATTCTTTTGGAATGAGGGTCAGCGGTGCAGGGGTGATA